CATAGCAGACAGGTGAAGCGCAGCAGACAGGTGAAGCGTAGCAGCAGCCAGGTGAAGCGTAGCAGACAGGTGAAGCATAGCAGACAGGTGAAGCGTAGCAGCCAGGTGAAGCGCAGCAGACAGGTGAAGCGCAGCAGACAGGTGAGGCGCAGCAGACAGGTGAAGCGTAGCAGACAGGTGAAGCGCAGCAGCCGGGCCTGTGTGACCGTGTGTCCTTGGACGTTTGGTGTTGTGGTGAATCTGGCGTAGAGGCCAGAACACCAAACTACTCGGCAGTACCAACAAGAAACAAATGCTGTTTTCTAAATGTAACACGGCTTCAGACCCAAACAAGCTGATTGTCCAGCAGTCAGCCACAACATCAGAGCCACTGACAGGTGGAGGGAATAGCACTGACCAGCTCAGTAATGGGTGGGATGGAGACAGCTGGATGACTGGGTCAGAGCATCTCCAGAACCTCAGGTGTTGTGGGTGTGTGCAGTGTTACAACAAGGGGCAACCAAAGAAGGGGAACCAGCGAACCAGCGACAGGTTTGTGGGAGCCCAAAGGTCACTGAGGTCACATAAAGAGCAAGTCCAAGCACTGAGGACAGGTTCTTCTACTCTAGCACAGGGATCTCCAGCTCCGGTCCTGGTGAGCTGCTGTCCTGCAGGTTTTAGATGTTTTTAGATGATGTGCTGCAACACACCTGGATGGATCTCCAGCAGCTTGTTGTCCAGTTCTACACAGGTCTGTTAGGGATCCATTAATGTGGGTCAGGTGTGTTGCAGTAACGTCTAAAACCTGCAGGACGGCAGCTCACCAGGACCAGAGCTGGAGATCCCTGCTAATACTTCACATGATAATATGAAGTCATTTACAACATTGAATCGTATCAGTAGCAGCAAAGCAGTCCCGTCTGGTCTGAGTCTCAGGCTGCATGACTGCAGGATCACAGCTTGTACATATACAAACCCTGCTCAGTAACATTATTTGTGTCGTACTTGGTGTATCTCTGTGGTATTTATTGCTTCCTTATCAGAGTAGCAGCTCTGTCCTGCTCTGTTTAATCTGGGAAAGGTTGCCTGCCACTGATCATCCACGGCACAGTTAAGTTTTCATGTCACACTGGTTAGTATTCATCCTAAAGGGTTTTTGTCATGTTAAAAAATATGAGCTTAAAGCATAAATGTTGTCCTGTTTGTCAGTGTGTACGTCAGCATCTGAGCAGGGCTGTGTTATAGTGTCAGACTAGTAATAAACCGTGTGGCTTCTCACCAAAATATGATAGAATATACTTTAGGAAATGTGAGATCAAATCCTGTCTCTGACATAAACATGAGTCACTCAAAGACGTATGGAAACGTACATGACTGATGGCTTTAGGACTGCATTAGATGTCCACATTCAGCAGTGGGATTACACCTGACGGCATGTAGCCAGGTGGAGGTGATGCTGTAAAGTGAAGTAAAGCTCCATCTTCTGTCTTTCAGGATTTTTGGACAAGAACAACGACCTGCTCTTCAGGAACTTAAAAGAGGTGAGTTTAGATGAGATGTGAGGAGAATGATTTGACATTGTGAGCAGCTTCAGAGGTTAAAGGTGTGTGTGTGTGTGTGTGTGTGTGTGTGTGTGTGTGTGTG